TGCCCCTGGGTCCACGAGCCCCACTCATCCCCCTTGGGAGTCTGTCCACCCACCCCTACCTTTCAGCCCACTCCTCACCCACGGGTGCACGTGGGAGCACGCCCAAGTGGCCACCTGCACATCCCCACGCGTGCCTGTACAGCCCCGCCCCTGCCCCGCCCTCCTCAGGGACGTCAAGCCGGACAACATCCTGCTGGACATGAACGGGCACGTCCGCCTGGCCGACTTCGGCTCCTGCCTGCGTCTCAACAACAGCGGCATGGTGAGGCCCCTGCCCTCGAATGGAGGTTCCTGGCACATGGGAAGCGGGGTCCTGGGGCGCCGAGCCAGCGAGGTGTTGCAGGGGGCGGGGCTAGCAGGTGCAGCCCCGCCCCAGGCTGTCCTCAAGGCGTTTTCCCCGCTGCCCTGCCCGCAGGTGGACTCCTCGGTGGCAGTGGGGACACCAGACTACATCTCCCCTGAGATCCTGCAGGCCATGGAGGAGGGCAAGGGCCACTACGGCCCCCAGTGCGACTGGTGGTCTCTGGGGGTCTGCGCCTACGAGCTGCTCTTTGGGGAGACGCCCTTCTATGCCGAGTCCCTGGTGGAGACTTACGGCAAGATCATGAACCATGAGGTGGGCTGCCAGGCTCTGGAGTCCCCCGGGGAAGGCGTTGGCCGAGACGCCTGTCCAGGCAGCTGGGCCCCCATCCCCACACACACCTCCCCGCTCGGCCAGCAGGACCATCTGCAGTTCCCCCCGGATGTGCCCAACGTGCCGGCCAGCGCGTGCGACCTAATCCGCCAGCTGCTGTGTGGTCAGGAGGAGCGCCTGGGCCGCGGCGGGCTGGGCGACTTCCAGAAGCACCCCTTCTTCGAGGGAGTGGACTGGGAGCGGCTGGCCACCAGCACTGCCCCCTACATCCCCGAGCTACGAGGGCCCGTGGACACCTCCAATTTCGACGTGGACGACGACACCCTTAACCACTCCGTAGGTGGCCGGTCCGAAAGAGAACTGCCTTGACCCTCACCAACGTTCCCCAGGGACCCCCGCATGTTCCCCAAGAGTAGCCGGGGCTGGGGAGGAGGCCCGTGGCTCCCAGGGACTCATGGGTGTTCTGTGCTCCCTAGGGGGAGCTGTAATGAAGTAGGGGTCCCACCAAATGAAGGACCTTCCTTTGACCCCAAATGGGGTGCTAATAGCCAAAGCTCCCCGCCGCCTTGCCTTGAGCCATGGGAGTTGTGGTTTGTTTTACCCCAGCTCCCAGCCCCTTACCAGCATTAGTTACCCCTCCCCCAGGGTGTACCTGAGCCAAGCGAGGCGGGCTTGCCCTTTCCAAAGGGCCTCCTGCAGCCTCATCCTAGAATCCTCTTTCTCCTGCAGGCCACCCTGCCGCCTCCCTCCCATGGGGCCCTCTCAGGTCACCACCTGCCCTTCGTGGGCTTCACCTATACTTCGCCCAGGTGAGTCTACCCCTCCCTTTCTGGGGAGCCCCTCCTAGTGAAGACCTCAGCTGCCCAGCCTGAAGGGGCTGGAAGCCGAGCCCATTGGGGGGCTGGATGGCCTGCCTGTGCCCGCGTGTACCATGTGCACAGGAAGTGCACTTTGAGTTCTCGGTAGAACAACCCCATCCCAGCTGAGAATGTCCCATCTCTGAGCCAGGGGCCAGGAGCTTGAAGGGTCCTCCTTGATTCCAGGCCCCACTGGTGCCTCTGGGAGATGCTCCTGGCCCAGTCTCCTCTCTGAGGACCTAGGGTGTGGGGGGGTGTGGGGGTGTGGGGCCCCAGGACCTGTGAGCCCAAATCACAGAGTCCTTGAGGCCCTGGTGTTGTGGCTGTTGTTCCCTTAGGGAACAGAGACCCACGTGCCTTAGGTTCAAGGTCACATAGGACCAAGGCTGGCCCTTGAACTTGGGCCCTGGGAACCATGAAGCCATGGCCCTAGGCTGCCACATGGGGGCTGCCTGGCCACCTCCGAAGGGGCCTCCAGTCACCCTCACCTTCCTCGGTGGCACCCTCGCAGTCCCTGGTCCTCTTGCCCTCCCTAGCTGGCTCGGGGCTGGGCTCGGGGCAGGTGCACCCTGGGTGGTTCTTGGCTGAATGAGTGAGCAGACACAGCAGGGGGCTTCGGGGAGTGGGTGTGTGCCAGCCCTCATGGCCCTACTCTCCCCGCCCCAGTCCTGCTCCCGAAGGCAGTTTGGACCATCTGGCTGCCCTGGAGGGGAAGCTCCTGTGCCTGGAGGAGGAGAAGGCAGAGCTGGTTCGGAAGCTCCTTGGTACATGGGGATCCAGACCCACTGTGGTGGGGGGGAGGGGTCTGGAGTTGGACTGGACGCTCACTGTGACCGCTCCCTGCCAGAGGCCCAGCGGCTGCCCTCAGACTCCCAGGAGCTGGAGACGCTACGCAAGGAAGTGCTGACTCTACGGGAGAGACTGTCAGGTACCCCGCACCCCCGCACCCCCGCCCCCCTCCCTCCTCAGCACACCGAGTCCAACCTGGGCTCAAGGCTGGCACGCCTGCCTCATGGGCTCAAGGCAGCACCTGGAGCTGTCTGAGTCTGTCTATGTGGTGCCGGCCAAGGCTGGGCATTCCACATGTGTCATTTCCGCGACTGTTCCCCACAGAGGCGCTGAGGGACGGCACAGCCCGCCTGTCCCAGACAGATGGGCCCCCTGCAGGCAGCCCCAGCCAGGCCAGTGACCTGTGCCGAGAGAGAGACCAGCTGCGCCAGGTGAGAGCCAGAGGGCAGTGGCTGGGCTCCTTGCCGGCCAGTCTGTTGCTGAGCCAGGCCTGGCCTTCCCTTCCGACCTCAGGAGCTGGCCGAGGCGCGGGCCGGGCTCGGTGTCTTGGCCCAGGAGCTGTGCCAGGCTCAGGAGCGTCAGGAGGAGCTGCTCCAGCTGCTTCAGGAGACCCAGGAGAGAGAGGCGGCCGCGGCCAGCCAGAACCAGGCCCTGAGCGCCCAGCTGGAGGAAGCGCAGGGTGCCCGGAGTGAGGTGGGTGCTGTGGGGCAGGGTTGGGGTGGAGCAGGTAACCCCTGGTCGTCTGTGGCAGCTGGAGGAAGTTTGGGGAGCTGGGGACTCCATGGTCCTCTGGACCACCCCCTGTAGTCGACCGAGGACTTAGGAGGGGCCAGGGCGGTGGGACTGGTCAGCTGCAAGGCCTATGGTGGGAGGAGCCGGGGTGGGCACGGTCAGCATTGCCTGCTCCGGCTGCCCCCCATCCCAGCTGGAGGCCCAGGCAGCCACCCTGCGCCAGGAGGTGACCCGACTGCAGAGGCGGCGGCGGCGGGAGCTGAGCCTGGAGAAGGAACCTGCTCGGGCTCGGGGAGGGCAGCAGCCTCGGCCCCTCCAGCCCATGCACACAACCCCTGAGACCAACGGCACAGGACCTCCCAGGGGCCGACCGCAGGAGGCCCAGCTGCAAGAGGAGGTGGCCACTCAGCAGAGGCGGCTGGACCAGGCTGGCAGTCAGGGGTGAGCCAGGTGGCATGGGCAGGTGGTGGGCCTCTTGGGTGGGGTAGCTGGGGTCTGGGCTCACACACTCCCCTCCGCCCGCCGGACCACCTACAGTCTGCTGAGCGGGAAGGAGGAAGCCTTGGCCCAGCTGCAGGAGGAAAACCGGCAGCTGATTCAGGCGCAGAAGCGGGTGAGCGGGGGGCCGAGGGCAGCATGGACAGACAGACAGCGGGGTGGGTGGACAGGGCTGCTGCCAGGGGCGTGGGGCAGGCTGGCCCCCTTGCTGGTGGGCCAGCTGTAGTGGGTGACCGGCCTCCCCGCTGCCCACAGCTGGCGGCCGAGCTGGAGCAGGAGCAGCAGAGCGTGCAGCGGCTGGAGGGGCAGCGACGGGAGACGGAGAGCAACTGGGAGGCCCAGATCGCAGACATCCTGGGCTGGTGGATGCCCTGGGCTGGTGGGGGGGCCTGGGTGGAGCTGGGGTGGGGCTGAGGGCCCGGTCCCTGACCCTGAGCCCTCCCCCGCCAGGGTGAACGACGAGAAGGTCTCCAGGGGCTACCTGCAGGCCCTGGCCACTAAGATGTCCGAGGAGCTGGAGTCCCTGCGGAACGTGGGTACTCAGACGCTCCCTGCCCGGCCGCTGGTAAGCAAATGCCCCGGGGCGGGGAGCAGGCGCCCCAGGCAGCAGAGGGGGTGGGCACGGAGGGCACGGTGGGCATCTCACCTGGGCACCCCGCGGCCGGCCAGGACCACCAGTGGAAGGCGCGGCGGCTGCAGAAGATGGAGGCTTCTGCGCGCCTGGAGCTGCAGTCGGCCCTGGAAGCCGAGATCCGAGCGAAGCAGAGCCTGCAGGAGCACCTGACGCAGGTGCAGGAGGCCCAGCTGCAGTCCGAGAGGTGAAGGAGGTCGGCGGGAGCGGCAGGGTCCTGCGGGAAACCGACCGTGGAGGGCCCAGGGTGAGTCCTTCCGGTCCTTCCCCAGACGGCTGCAGGAGACCGAGAGGCAGAGGCAGGGCCTGCAGCAGGAGCTGGCCACACTGCGCGAGGAGCTGCAGGCCCGAGGCCCGGGCGGTGAGTGGCCAGCCACACCTGCCGGCAATGGTACCCGTGGGTTCAGCCTCCTGAGAGGCTGCGGGGGCCTGAGTTTGCACCTAGAACCTGCCACCCCCTGCCCGCAGCCCTCACTGAGCACCTGCTCTGTGCAGCCCACGCCACTAGACCCAGTGGAATCCGTGGCCCTGGGGGCCCCTGGTTCCTCAGGAGCAGGGCTTAGGACTGGGCAGGGGACCCCACCCTTGGTGACCCTGCCTCTGTCTCCAGACGCCAAGCCGACCAGCTCCCTGCTTCCCTTCCTGTCCTTCTGGAGCTCAGAGGTAAGGCCCGGGAGGTGGATGCTGGGGAGAAGTGGGGGACAGGAGGAGCCACACGAGGCCCTGACATTGCCCCCCACCCCGCCTTCTATCCCCAGAAGGAGTCCGCCGGAGAAGGCCAGAGGCCGGGATGCCCAGAGCCAGAGCTGAGGCCTGAGGGCCGTCGCAGCCTGCGCATGGGGGTAAGCCAGGGGGTTCCTGGGATGGGGAGAGCCTGGCACCCACCTGCTGCCCACCCTTCACTTCTCTGCTCGCCTTGCTCCTCGCAGGCTGTCTTCCCCAGGGCACCTGCTTCCACCACAGTCCCTGTGGACAGTCCTCCTGCTAAGGTTAGTGGCCACCCTTCTCCCTTAGAGCCAGAGCACAGGTGGGGGTGGGGGTGTCCCCGTGGTAGTGAGTCAGGGTACTGTGGCCTCAGCCAGCCCAGCCTGGCCCCCAGGAGCCTCAGGGATGGGTGTGGGGTCCCAGAAGCCATGGCCAGGCTCAGAGTGATGGCCCTTTCTCTCTAGCCCGGCTCACATGTGCTTCGTCCCCGGACCTTCCCCTCTCCCACCAAGTGTCTCCGCTGCACCTCGCTGATGCTGGGCCTGGCCCGCCAGGGCCTTCGCTGTGACGGTGAGGATCCTGCACCCCTCCCTTCATGGGGGTGGGGTGGGGAATGTGATGGGCAGGGGGCTGCTGCCTCCAAGTCCCCACTGAGTTTTTCCCCTCCCTGGGTGGGGAAGTGTTTCCAGTTCTCCGGGGCCTCTGTGATTACAAGTCCCCCTCCCCTATCCCCACAGCCTGTGGCTATTTCTGCCACTCCGCCTGTGCCCTGCAGGCCCCCCTGTGCCCTGTGCCCCCAGAGCAGCTCTGCACAGCCCTGGGAGTGCACCCCGAGACGGGCACAGGCACCGCCTATGAGGGCTTCCTGTCGGTGAGTGAGCTGGGCTAGGAGGTGGGAGGCGGGGAAGGCAAGAGGGCCTGTCGGTCCCACCACCACACCTACCTTTCTCCAGGTGCCCCGGCCCTCAGGCGTCCGTCGTGGCTGGCAGCGCGTCTTTGCAGCACTCAGTGACTCCCGCCTGCTGCTGTTTGATGCCCCCGACACCCGGCTCAGCCCAGCCAGCGGGGCCCTCCTGCAGGCGCTGGATTTGAGGTGGGTACGGGGGCAGGGGCGTGGGGTGAGGGGGCAGGGGGGGCCACAGCAGCATGTCCTCTGACCTGCCCCTCTGTGGCCATTCCAGGGACTCCCAGTTCTCAGCTACCCCCGTCCTGGCCTCTGACGTCATCCACGCCCAATCCAAGGACCTGCCACGAATCTTTATGGTGAGTCCCTGGGTGAGCCAGACCTCAGACATCCTCCCCTTCCAGCCCTGGCTGCCCCTCACCTCCGTGGGAATGCTGCCTCCCTGTACTGCCCCACCTTCCATACGGGGCTGGCCGTGCCCTGCCCTGCTAAGATCCTCTGTGGCTCTCGGCTGCCCTCGGCCCACAGTCTGCCCCTGCTGGCACTGTGACCTGCTTCCTCACTTCCAAGAGGGCCCTGTGGGCCTCACTGCTTGGCCTGGCACATTCTGTCTCCTCCGCCCATAACTCCCTTCCGCCTGGGGGACCCCAGCCCCTCGGGACCCTAGCCCTTCACCCACCTGGACTCAGCCCAGTCACGCCACCTTTCCCTCCAGCTCCCAAAACTCTTCCTGCACCTCTTGACCTGAGTACAAGGGCCCTTCCCCTGTTCCCACAATGCCCCAGCCTCTCCTAGCGTGGCCCTGCCCACACAAAGTCGAAACAGTCGCACGCTGGGCCTAGCCCCGCACCTGGCCGGCGCCACAAGCAGCTGGTGCAGATGGGGGATGAGGAGGGGTGGCTGGCCCTGGGCCCAGTCCCATGCGCCCAGCCCTGGTCGCTACCCGCAGGTGACGGCCTCCCAGCTCGCAGTGCCGCCCACCACGTGCACTGTGCTGCTGCTGGCAGAGAGCGAGGCCGAACGCGAGCGCTGGCTGCAGGTGCTGGGCGAGCTGCAGCGACTGCTGCAGGAGGGACGGCCCCGGCCCTGGCCCGTGTACACCCTCAAGGAAGCCTACGACAACGGGCTGCCGCTGCTGCCCCACACACTCTGCGCCGCCATCATCGGTGAGCCCCCGGGGACCTGCTTAGGCCTGGCAGTCACGAGGGCAGCCATCACGGCCCAGTCCCTGCAGAAAGACCCTCTGAGTGTCCGCTGAGATGCCCTTCTCCTGCGTGAGCAGCCCTGGGAGGAGGGGTGGAGGCCTGGCCTCTCAGCACCCTGTTTCTCTGTGCCTTGGTTTCTCCGTTTCCTGAAAGAGACCCTCACGCATGAGGGCAGGTCAGAGGCTCTGGATACAGACAAACAGGGTGATCGATGATGGTGGTGGTGCTCCTGCCACCAGCCGGGTGGCCGTGGGCAGCCGGGTGGCCCTTCCAGGACTCCGTGACAGGGAGGAGTGGCCACCAAGGCCCTCGGGGCATGCGGTCTCTCCCTGCGGTCACTCAGGGTATAGCCACAGGAGAGGTTGTTGGTCCCTGGCCAGGGAAGCTGGAGGCGTGAGGGCACTTGTTGAGTAGGGACAGCTGCAGACGGGGACTCTGCTGACCAGAACTGGCACCCCTTCCTACCTCTCCCTCCTAGCAGCTCTGTGCCAAAGCCACCTTTAGGTCCTGATACACAAGGGGAAACTGAGGCTCGGGGAGGGTGGCTGGCTTACTCCAAATCCCACAGTTCAAGGTGGCATGCCTCTGACCCTGGACCCACGCCTGCAGCCCTCTCCCCACCAAAGCTGGCTCAGGTGCTTCGAGGGAAAGATGCTGTTGGGTAGGGGCGTCGGGCTCCCCATCCCCATTTCCTTCAGGGAAACGGAGGCCCGGCAAGGGCAGGCCGATGAGCAGGGAGAATGACTTCTGACCTCTGACCCTCTCCCAGACCAGGACCGGCTTGCCCTGGGCACCGAGGAGGGGCTGTTTGTGATCCATCTGCACAGCAATGGTACCTGCCTCCCCACCCCCACCCCTGTGGGCAGGTGGGGGCTCATCCCCTCCCCCACCAGCTGGTGATGTCCTCTCTGCCTACCCCAACCTGCAGACATCTTCCAGGTTGGCGAGTGCCGGCGGGTACAGCAGCTGGCCATGAGCCCCTCCGCCGGCTTGCTGGTCGTGCTGTGCGGCCGCGGCCCCAGCGTGCGCCTCTTTGCCCTCTCGGAGCTGGAGAACTCAGAGGCCTCGGGCACTAAGATCCCCGAGTCTCGGGGCTGCCAGGCGCTGGCCGCAGGGCGCATCCTGCAGGCCCGCACCCCGGTGCTCTGCGTGGCCATCAAGCGCCAGGTGCTCTGCTACCAGCTGGGGCCTGGCCCGGGGCCCTGGCAGCACCGCATCCGGGAGCTGCAGGCCCCAGCCCCCGTGCAGAGCTTGGGGCTGCTGGGCGATCGGCTGTGCGTGGGCGCAGCCGGGACCTTCACCCTCTACCCGCTGCTCAACGAGGCCACGCCCTTGGCACTGGGGGCTGGGCTGGTGCCCGAGGAACCACCATCCCGCGGGAGCCTGGGCGAAGCGCTGGGCGCCGTGGAGCTCAGTCTCAGCGAGCTCCTGCTGCTCTTTACCACTGCCGGTGTCTACGTGGATGGTGCCGGCCGGAAGTCCCGGGCCCACGAGCTGCTGTGGCCTGCTGCCCCAACGGGCTGGGGTAAGGCCTGGGGAGGGTGGGGCCGGGCAGGGCTTGGCTGTGGACACCGACCATGTACCCCACGACGTGGGGAATGAGGCAGCGTGCCTCCCAAACTCCTGGGCTTGATACCGGCGCTCCTCCACAGCCTGATTCCAATTGCCCCTGGGAAGCTGCTCACCTCTCTGTTCATGCTTGCACGCCCCCCAGAGCTACCTTCCTCTCCGTGCCTGGCAAACCCTGAACCCTGTCCAGCTCCAGGGTCCGCTTAGCCTCGAGCTGGCCGGCATCCACACATCCGAGGTCCGGTCCAACTGTCAATGCCCCTCTCGTGGGCCGTGCCTCTTCTTTGTCCCCCACCCCACTCCTTTCTTTGCACCCCTGCTCTGGACTTCGTCACTTTTGACTGCAGTGCAGGAGGCCACTGGGGCCACTGTCGGTTAATGGGAGTTGGGCTATGAAGCTCAAGATTGCAGTTCAAACCCACCAGCTGCTACTTGGGAAGAAATATGAGGCTGCCTGCTCCCGTAGCGATTTGTTTTGGAAACACGGGAGCAGTTAATTCATGCTGCCCCGGAGAGGGCACGATGAGTTTGAATTGGCTCGATGGTGGCCACTTAGTGTCATGACAGGCTTCGGGCACGGAGACCTGCAGCATGTGCTAGGCTGCTTGCCTCACTCACATCCAGGACTCAGCAGGGCAGGCACACCTGGGAGTCTGGACGTGCGGGGAGTGAATGACTGAATAAATGGGGCGGAGGAGGATGTGCACCGGGAGCCGGTGGTGTAAGACCTGGGAGATGGCATTCCAGTTTCTAGCTGTGGTTCTTCCTGGGGTGCGGCTGAGTCTCACACAAGGGTGGTGCAGAAAACAGCGCTGCTGAGGGGTGAACCGGAATGGATCCCGACTGGGGCGACCAGGGATGGTCCCCCAGCGAGCTGGGGGGTCGCGCTGTGGCCATGCACAGGGTATGACAGGGCTCAGGCTCCGCCCCCGCCCCACAGGCTACGCCGCCCCCTACCTGACAGTGTTCAGTGAGAACTCCCTGGACGTGTTTGACGTGAGGAGGGCAGAATGGGTCCAGACCGTACCATTCAAGAAGGTGAGGGCCTCCCGGACCGTGGGCTGGGGTCGGCTTGCAAAAGGGTGGCCTGCTGTGACCCGTGTGCCCGCTGTCCCAGGTGCGTCTCCTGAACCCCGAGGGCTCGCTGTTCCTCTTTGGCACCGAGAAGGTCCGCCTGACCTACCTCAGGAACCGGCTGGCAGGTGAGGGAGGGGGCGGGGGGCGGGGCGGGGACGGACAGGTGTGTATGCGTGTCAGTCTGTCTGTCTGCTTTGGGGACCTGGTGCTCCACCCAGCTCTGCCCCTTCCGCAGAGAAGGACGAGTTCGACATCCCGGACCTCACGGACAACAGCCGGCGCCAGCTGTTCCGCACCAAGAGCAAGCGCCGCTTCTTCTTCCGCGTGTCGGAGGCGCAGCGGCAGCAGCAGCGCAGGTGCGCATGCG